ACACCTTGTATCTAGAACCTCATGCCGTCAATGGCCTAGGCAAAGCAGAGGACAAATCTGAGCCAGCCCATCCTCCACAGAAGGATTACTGAGGATCTCCAAACCTTCTCTCTCCCCAGTAAATGCCGATCTTTGAAAGGGTTCCCCACTCCTTCCCTAGACCCACAAGACTACATCCCTATGGGATAGTCCAGCCCTAGGGACTTTGAAGAAAGTAATGGGCACTTGATCTTCCAGCTCTAAGGTGAATACAGTCCTAGTCCTGACCATTCACCCCTGATGTAGGGGCTGTGGTTCAGGCACCTCTCCTTCCTGTCCTGGCTACTAATTCTCCCTTTATTAACAGTGGGGAAAGTGAAGTGGGAGATCCTTCCAGGTTCGGGTATTTTTAGGTTACAAGCAGCCAGTGGCATTTCCCTGAAATATGATCTCAACCCTGTTCATTTAGGGAAAGAGCCAGGATCTAGGTCCACCCACCCCCAATACTTGATGTGCAGCTACTCTGAGAGAGGATCAAAGGGACCCCAGGCCGAAGACGGCAGGAAGGTTGAAGAAGAAGATGGTGTCACTTTAAATCTGAGCTCTGGCGGGTTGGAGTGGGGAGACCGTGGGATGTCAAGACTGGAGAGCCTGTCTGAGACTGGAAATGAACTAGGGAGTTCTTGGGACACTGAGATTAGTGAGAACTCCTAAAACAAGAGATTAAGAGTTCCTGGGAAATCCTGAGGGGAGGTGTGGTTTGGGATTTAGGACTAGGAGAATTTGGGATTGGGGGCCATGAGAGTTCAGGATGGAGGTCTCTTGGAAAATGTTGGGGGTCCGAGTCCCTGCTTCAGAGAGATGGGGTGCTGGTGAAAGAAAGATTTGTGCCTGAAGGCCTGCGGGACTGTTCCAGGTGTGTTGATTGTAGGAGCTGGGACTGAAAGATGCCCGATTAGAAAGACAGATGAAATAAGTGGTGGGGATGGGGGTGGAGTGGGGGGCATAGGTTCTGGGGACAGACGGCTCACTGATGCTGGCAGAGTAGACAGGAAGGGTTGCCCAGCATATCAGAACTCAAAAGCTGGGAGCCCAGCCCTTGCTACCATACCAGCCAATCTGAGTCAGAGGACATGCCTCTCACCATCTGGAGCAGGGATACCCTTGGCTCCCCAGGGAGCTCCCAGCTTTGACCTTGGCGTCTCCCTCTCAGGAATTCTGGCTCCCTGCCTGGTACTCATGGCCACCCTACTTGAGGATGCTAGACTGGAATAGCCTCAGAGACCCAGGAGGTGGCTGGGGCAGACACTGCCAGCCTCCTGGCCCTTCCCATCCCTTCTTAGCCTGGGGCCTCTGGGCAACTGAACTTTGGATTGGGGAGGCTGAAAGGATTTGGGGCTCTCAGAAGTTGGGAGTCCTGTCTTTAATACCTAATTGGAGGGGTGAGGGGGAAGGGAGAGGAGGATGGTATGGAAACTGAAGTAGGAAAGGCATTAGGTTAGGGTCATAACAACACCAACCCCGCTATGACTCCCATCCTGGTTCAAGTACCACGTTTGCCACTGAGTTTCAGTTTCCAGAATTAATAATTTAACAGACATTTATTAAATGCTTACTATGTGCTAACCACTGTGCTGACAACACACAAAGACAAAAGTGAATCAGAGCTTGCCCACAGAAAGCTTACATTCTCACAGGGGATTCAACATGTGTGTAGGTAGATAGCTATATACACACATGTGTATATATATGTGCATATACATACACACATACATGTATACATATCCACATATAGTATACAATATACCAAAGGTAGTTTGGGGAAGTAGGGCACTAAGAATTAGGGGGACCAGGAAAGGCTCCATGGCTGAATCTTGAAGGAATCTAGGGATTCCAAGACACAAAAAGCGAAAAGGGAAAGCATTCCAGGCATGAGGAACAGCCAATACAAAGACATAGAGATGGGAGATGGAGGTTATACAGGAGAGATATCTAGTAGACCAGTTTGGTTACAGAGAGTGAGTGGGGAGAAGTAATGTATAATAAGACTGGAAAGGTTGGGAGAGACATGTTTGTAAAGATATTTAAATTACTGTGCTTCTCTTTTCACTGCCAAAAAGAATAACCACTGCACTGGATACAGTAGAACAAATATAGCTAGTAAGGCACTGATACTCCAAAATAAAAAAGGAGATAGTAAGAGAGCCCCTAAGTCCCCTTGGTGAATTCAAGTTACCTGATGACCCAGATGAACTACATGCTTGGGTCCTGAAAAACTCTCAGATGTGATGGATGAGCCTCTATTAATAACTTCTGGAATGTAGCATCTCCCACTTGACAAGTATGGTCCCTCAGAGAGTGGCTGCTACTACTCCTTTTCCTTTTTTCTTTCTTTCCTTTTTTTTTTTTTTAGCAAGGCAATTAGGGTTAAGTGACTTGCCCAGGGTCGCACAGCTAGTAAGTGTCAAGTGTCTGGTCTGAGACTGGATTTGAACTCAGGTCCTCCTGACTCCAGGGCTGGTTGCTCTATCCACTGTGCCACCTAACTGCCCTATGTTACTATTCCTTAAAAGGTTCTGGGGAAATTAGAAACCCTAGGGTTTCTAACACAGTTGATCCTGAGCCCCAGTGTACTTCACGTTTGTTATTAGCCAGTATCCTCAATTACATTTTAGCAAGAGTATTTACTAAAAAGGCACAGTAAAAGCAGTTATTAAAATTTTTTCTCCTCAAATGGAACAATGGGGCACACCCTCCCTTTGCAAACACAAGGTCCTTGGGAGAGTGAGTTCAAACTTGGGAGAGTGAGTACAGTGGTGGTGAGGCACACAATAGATTATACAACTCCTAGTTACTGGAAGTTCTTTTCTCCCTTCATGGATCCCTCGTGAAATTCATAGCAAGGGGTGGTCTGAGTGATGGTTGAGTTTACCAGTGTGGCTGGCTCTTTGGAGGGCAAGGTTATCTCTTCTGGAAAGGTCAATCTGCTACTAGGCTGGGCCAATTTGCTGTTGGATAAGACTCTGCCCCTTGCTACTGAGCCAGGCCACTTCTCCACTCTTGCTGGTACTCTCTCCTCCAGTTCTGCTCAGGTGCCAAGGGAAGGGAAAGCACCAGGTTCTAGTCTGTAGGTGTTCCAGAACATGTAATGCTTACAACATCTCTACCTGGGTATCTCCACCTCAAGTACTGACTCCTATACTTACTGTATATCCAGCTCTATTGGACTCTGCTACCAACTCTAATCACTGGTGAAACTTCTGGTGGGACCTCAAGATCTCCCTGATCCTGGTAGCATGGAGGTAGGAAAAAGAGAAAGACATTTTTCTATTTTGTTCTCTTTTCTACTTTGTTCTATTTTTCAAGGGCTTTTCTACACCTCACCAGCCTGCTGTAGGTCTGCGAAACTTGGAAGAGGCTTGCTATTTTATACATAAGTCCAGAGGCACATTTGATCATTTCAAGCAAGCATAATCTGCTTCCTGTGCAGCATCATTTGCATTGCATCGAGTGGCCAAAGTTTCATGATGCTTTCAAAATGATGAAGGGCTTGTCCACATGTATTTTCATAAGGGTTTAGGAAAATTCCTGCATACCTAGTATACTCCATTCAGTGATTAATTCATTGTTTAGGATGTCAAAATGTCCAAAACTGAACTCATCACCTTTCCCCTTAAACCCTCCCCCACTCCTAACTTCCCAATGACTGTTGAAGACACCATCTTTCCAGTTACTGTTGACTCCTCACTCTCTCTGTGTTCACGTAATATTTAAAGGATGGATGTGGAGGAGGGATTGGGCTAGTTTGGTTTGTCCCCAGAGGATAGAACCAGAAACAAATTACAAAGAAGATAATTTAGACTAGATTTCAGGAAAAACCTCCTAATGACTAAAATTATATAAAAGAGTAATGGGCACCCCAAAGGTGGTGTCTTCCTTCTCCCTGGCAGTCTTCAAGCAGAGTCTGGGTGACCACTGGAAAGGTATGTGGGGATTACTTTTCTGTATAAGCTGGATTGGATGGTCATTGCCTTCCCTTCCAACTCTCAGATTCTGAAATTCTGTGAAATGCCCCAAATGATGATTTGATCCCAGAGGTAACAGAAAAACCACTGGAGTTTATTGAATGGTGTGTGTGTGTGTGTGTGTGTATGTGACAATCAAACCTTGGAAGTGAGGAGAATGGATTGAAGGGGATTGAGGCTTGAGGTAAAGAAATAAAAAGGAAAAGTTATTGTAATCGTCCAGGGTAGGGGAGATGGGGACCTGAACTAGGTGGAAGGAGAGAGCATATATAAAAGAAGTTGTTGAGATGGAAAGGACAACTGAAAAATGGAGAGATGCCCATAGTACTTATTCATAAGGCTGTTATTTGGGTGAAAAAAACGGTTTATATAGAACCTCTTTGCAATCACATACCAACATCTGCTATTTTTTCCCATCTCTTAAAAAAGAGGGTGCGTGGGTAGAGTCTAAGGTGACTTAGGGTTGTAACTTCTAGGAAACACATCAACTCATTTTGACAACTCGTGGATTCAGTTTCTCGAACTGTAAAATGGAAGACGGCGGGGTTTGGAAAGCACCAGTGAAATTCTGAAACCCTATATCCAGTGTTTCTCACCAGATCCACCTGTCCATCAGAGCTGGGCTGGGGTTGGGTCCGTTTCCAGTCCCGGCAGCTTTGGACCAGAAAAAAGCTGAGCTAGTGGACACTTATCACCATGCAGCCTCCTCGTCCCCTACCTACCGTCTTCTCCCCCGGTTTGGTGGCGAATAAACTTCTACCCATTTCGCAGATGAGCAAACTGAGGCCTAATGAGTCTAAGCAAGTAGCGAGAAAATGAAAAGCAGAACTGCACACAGGAGATCGGCCTCCAAGTGCAACCTGCGCTGGGAACTGCTTTCTAAGCTTAGACCTGGGTGGGTGGGCCGGGGGCGGGGCTTTCCAAATGACGTCTTCCCATTGGCTCCTGATCTTTGCTTTTCTCTGAGAAACCCTTTCTCTCCCCGCCTGACGCCCTGTGACCCGGAAGCTCTAACGGCCAATATGGCTGCGCCCAGCAATACCGACAAGTAGAGACGGAGCCATCTGAGAATCGCCGTGGGGGTGATCGCCGTCGCGCTGCTCGAGAAGCAGCTCAGACTCCTAGCGCGCTCCGCCGCAGGTCTGCGGACATGGTGACCTTTTCCCCTTGTATCGCGTTTGGGAAGGGAAGGGGAGGGGCGGGGGCGGCGTGAGCCCCGCCTACTGTGTGTCTGTGTGTGTGAATGGATATGTGTATATGTGTGTATTGTATTGTGTGTATATGGGTGTGTATGTGTGACCCTCAAAACCCCCACCCCGTCCCAAACCCAGCACACAGGCAAAGGAGAAAGGAGACATGGCTCTGGCCCGGAGAACCCGGGATCTGAGACGGAGAGACCCAGCCTGACCTAGTGAACACCCACGTGCCTGGAGCTGGCACGTAAACGAGGCCGTGTGCGGATTACGCCCCAGGAGGGGACGTTTTCCAAACCTAAAGTCTAAATCTGACTCTGCCATCTCCTGATCAGTGTGGAGGTGTGTTAGGCAGACATCGAGCATTTATTAAGTGCCTGTTGTGTACCAGGCACTGCCGTCCCCAGGGGATGCAAAAAAAAGCAAAAACAGTCCCTGCTGTCAAGGAGCACACATCCTAATGGGGGAGTCAACACGAAGTTAATTAGGTACCTACAAGATCCGTACTGAGTAAATGGAAGGTAATCTCAGAGGGGAAGGCACTAGCTGCTGGGGGAGGGAGGGAGGAAGGAAGGGGAAAGACCTTCTGCAGAAGAGGGCTTTGAGCTGAATCTTGAAGGAAACCTGGGAAATGAAGAGGCTGAAGTGAGGAAAGAAAACATTCTAGGCTTAGGAAGGAGCCAGAATGCCCTGCTTGAGAAACAGCAATGAGTACAATGTAGCTGCGTCAGAGAGGCAGTACTGGAAAGGTAGGAATGCACCAGCCTATGAAGAATTTTGAACATTTGATTTGGAGATAATAGGAAGCTATTGAAATCGATTGAGCATGGAGTAGGGGGTGGTTGTGACCAAGTCAGACCTGCTCTCTAAAAATATCACTTTGAGCATCGAATGGAGGATGGATTGGGCTTGTGAAAGACTTGAATTAGGAATACCAGTTCAAACGTTATTGTAATAGTCCAGGCTTAAGACTAAAAGAACCTGAACTAATGTAATGCTTTATAATTGGAGAGAAAGGGATGTAACATTAAGGGAGAGATGCTGTGAAGTATAGAAGTGATAAGATTTGGTGTTGGACTGAATATGTTGGATGAGAGTGGAATCAAGAAGTACACTGGAAGTGGGAGCCTAGGTTAATGAGAGGATGGACATACTCTTGACATGGTAATAGTATCAAAGTTTGGAAGACAGGAGGATTTGGGGGAGAAAGAGAATAAATCTAGAGTGTGTGTGTGTGTGTGTGTGTGTGTGTGTGTGTGTGTGTGTGCATGCATAGGGTTCTAAGGCCATCCTCTGGGCCAGCTAACCACATCTCCTTTCCTTGGGTTAGGTAGGCATCTGGTTGCCTGACCAGGGCCAGCAACAGGATGAACTGCATACGGAGGGCTATCCTAGCCTTGGATTACTCTATGGGTCACCACTTCCTTTCCAGAGCTGCTCCAGGGCATAGCCCTTGGCAGCCTGAAGGAAGCTGCCTTTTACAGGTAGTGGGAATGGGGTAGGGAGAGGGATCACCTACTTGCCTAACTTTGGATAAGCCATTTAACCTCTCTTGGCCTCCTTTTGGAGGTCATCTAGCTCCATGCCATCATTTTACAGTTAATAAACCCATCAACTCTTCCAGGTTTTAGTCCTCTTTCCCTCTCTTCTGGCCTGAGTGGGTTGGGGGGATAGGAGGAGGCACCTGCTTCCCTCTGGTTATGCCCCATTCACTTGCCCTCTTCAGTGCCATCTAAAACTGACTCTTAGTAATCTTCCCATGGGCTATTTGATTTTGGTGCCATTCCTGGTTAGCATTTCCTTCAGTAAATTCTGTTGAATGTTTAGCAGCTTCTCAGGCCATGTGTACTCAGAAAGACTGCAACAAATTAGGAATGTGAATCTGAAATAAGTGGAAAGAAACACAAATGCCCCCAGTAAACAGGAAAAAAATTTTGTGTTGTAGACAGAAAATCCTTTTCCTAATACAGATGTTGGCTATTGTGGGGAAGAAGGAAGAGCTAATAGAGATACTGGGAATCCCTGGCTAGACTAGGCAGTGGTTTGGATATGTTAGATGAGAGAGTAGAGTCAAGGATGACGCTTAAGTTGGGGACCTAGGTTAGTCGGAGAATGGAAGTTCCCTTGACAATACTACTGAAAGATTTCGGAACCTCAGGATTCCAAATTGGGAAAGAGAAGAGAAGGCCTGGGTTTTTCCAGAGCCAACCAGTCTCCTTGGTAGATAACAAGCCCCAGGGCTAAGTGTTCAGAGGAGGAACTAAGGCCCAGAGAGTTTGAGAGCTAAGTATTCAAGGTCATATCCATAAATAACAGAGCCAGAGTTCAAACCTAATTCCTAAACTCCAGTTCCAGTTATCTTTCCACTGTACTTTACTGCCTCTCCTTTAGGAAAGGAACGAGGTCCCCTATCAAGGTAGGATAGGCAGGCTTCCTGGTGGACAAGGGTGTCAGATCCTAGCTGTGATCCTTCTTGTTGACCCACAGGGCCGCTCCCAGTTCCCGAGGGGCTTCCACAGCAGTGCAGCAAGACTAACCTCAGATTCTGAGCAAGTCCCTATGGTGAAGCCCCCTACGGTGTCCATGAAGGCCTTGGAGCCATACGAGGACTTCTTTGAGCAAGCATCTGGTGGACAGCGAGATAAGACAGGATTCTCAAGGGCAGTCAAGGCCTTTGCCCAGCGGGACATGAGAAAGCGGGGCCATGTTGATTTCATCTACTTAGCTCTTCGAAAGATGCCGGAGTATGGGGTGCAGCATGACCTGGCTATCTACAACCTCCTGCTGGACATCTTTCCTAAGGAGGTCTTTGTGCCTCGAAACATGCTGCAGCAAATCTTCAACCATTATCCCCGTCAGCAGGAGTGTGGCGTGAAGGTGTTAGATCAGATGGAGAATTATGGTAAGAGGGAGGAGTCTGAGGATCCCTTCCCAGCCCCAGCCTTTGCCAAGGAGGGCACTGGAGGAAGAACATTGCTGTTAGCCAGTGTGGAATGGTATTAGATGGGTTGAGTGAATTAATCCCAGTTAAGATGAAGTTGATGATTGAAAAGGTGTTTTGAGGGGGTTATTGGGGTGGGTAGATGGATACTCTGTCTGCAAGGATTTAAAGGGCAGTCACATGGAAGAGGGCTAACACTCATGCTGTTTGTCCCCAGAGGACGAGGAGAAAGTTGGGAAGGGGCTGGGCAGCCAGAGTTCCTCTACCAGGACAAGGACCGGGAGCTTTGGTCAGGAAATGGCAGAATCAGATTTAGACTTTAGGTTCGGAAAATGTCATTAGCAATTAGAGCTGACCAGAAATGGAAAGGACTATTAGGAGACAGTAAGTTCCCCATCATAGGGGGTCTTCGGGGCAGGCTAGATAATTACCTGACAAGGAGAGAATAGAACTCGGGTTCTTAACCTAGGTTCTATAAACTTGCTTTTTAAATATTTTGATAACTGTATTTTCAGCATAATTGGTTTTATTTGTAAGCCTATATATTTTGTTTTATGCATTTGAAAAACATTATTTTGAGAAGGGGGCCATAGCTTCACCAGATTTCCAGAGGGAATGACCCCAAAAAAGTTTCAGAAACTCATTTATGGAGAGATTCTTGTTAAGGCACAGGTTGGACTGGATAATCTTGGAGGCCCCTTCTGTATGTAAAATTCTGTCATTCTGTTTTTCAGAAGAAGGGCATGGGGAGGGGGCTCCCCTATTTGGGGCAGTTTACCTGTGGCCCATATCTGCTTCTGTGACTGGCTTTGCCTTTCCCTGTTCTCTTCTGCTTCTTTCCCTTCTTGCTTAGCACAGGGGTCATGCCAAACAAGGAAACCGAGTTTCTGCTGCTACAAATTTTTGGGCGCAAGAGTCACCCTATGCTCAAATATCTTCGCCTGATTTACTGGCTCCCCCGCTTTAAGAACATCAATCCATTCCCAGTGCCAAGACCACTACCCAAGGACCCTATTGACTTGGCCCGGCATGGTCTGGAGCGTATTGCCGCCGACTTGAGTGCCAGAGTCACTGTCTACCAGGTAGCACCCAGGACTACTTGATTTCCCCCAACTACCACTGTAGGTCCTGATTGCTTTTTCTGTCCTTATGATCTCTGTCTTGGTAGCCACACACAGAGTGCCAAGACTTTTTCCTCTGCTGATCCCATTGTCCTTGTATGTTTCCTCTTGACTCTTTGCCCTTCAGGTGGGGGTGGGTGGTGAATGTGGGTGGGGTGGGGCTGGGCACCTAGTATCCTTTTGCTGTTCTGTCTGTAGATGCCTAGGCCAGAAGATCTTGGAGCTAACCCATCACAGCCTCACATTGTAGGTAGGTCTTGTGTCCATTGGGTATATAGTATATTGCCAATCTCCTAAGACCACAGATAGAGTGAGGTTAGACAGGAGGAGAGTAAATGGGAAGACACTGATGGTAGAGTTTTCAGAGGGCCCAAGGAGTCCTCAGAACCCTGAAAAGACAGTGCCCATTTCCTCATCCTACTTCTGGTTGAAGACATAAACTAAGATGAATTCTGGAGAGAGAAACCAGAGAGAGCTAAGCAAGTGGAGATCAAATTAGTTAGTTTTAGGGACTCTCTAGGTCTTTGCATAAGGTGACAGACAAAACCTGGTGCTACGTAATTATGACCTCATTTTATAGAGGTAGAGCGGGAAAGGACCTGGAGATAAAGTATAACCCCTCATTTTACATCTGGGCCCCTGGAAGGGCTGGGTGGAAGTCACCTCCTGGAAATCAACTGGAATTGATGTGTGCCTGTGTCCCTCCCCAAACCAGGAATCCAGAGCCCTGACCAGCAGGCTGCCTTGGCTCAGCACAACCCTGCTAGGCCTGTTTTTGTCGAGGGCCCCTTCCCATTGTGGCTTCGAGACCAGTGTCTCTACTACCACGTACTTCGAGCTGACCTGCTGCCTCCAGAAGAAAGAGTGAGAGGAGAAGCCCGGGAGGGGCCAGAAGGAGGGGCTGTGGGTGCTCCAGTATCGAGTGTTGAGTGGAAGAGTGGTCTGGTACCTTCTAACAGTGGGTGGTTCTAACAGCTATGCTTAAAACCCTGGTTGGGGTGGGTGGTACCACAGAGTGTTTGACCTTAATCTGAGCCCCATGGATGCTGCCTCCAGCAGGAAGACAAAGAGATCGGGCCAGAGAGGAACTTCTATTACCCCATGCAGCTGGACTCGGATTTGGATCAAGGACCCTGGGATGACTATGAGTTTGATGTGGATGAAGGTATTGGGGTTCCTCTACATAGCCTCAGAGTGGTTTTCTAGGGTCTGGTATAGCTCCCACCTCCACTGTCCTTTGGGTTTGAGATGGAAGCCCCTTGGCATTGTCCTTCCCTTCTGGGTACTACTTTAGGCACAGGGAACAAGGCTGGCCTCAAACCTGGAAAATTAGTCTTAATGGGGGAGGTGGGGGTAGGGGTGGTGGAGACCCAGGTTCCTGAGCTTCTGCCAGGGCTTACCAGAATGGGGTCTGTAGCTACTTGTCAACCAGAAGAAGGGAAGGGGGTGATCCAGGAGGTGAGGAGCTTCAGACCCTAGTGGTAAAGGTCAGGAGTTACCTTCTGGGCAGTCCTCCTAGAAGCCAGTCCCTGGTTTCTCCAGCCCAGAGCTCCTTCTGGGCAGTCCTCCTAGAAGCCAGTCCCTGGTTTCTCCAGCCCAGAGCTCCTATCTGTTCCTATAGTTGAGGAAGGCCCTGTATTTGCCATGTGTATGGCTGGAGCCCATGATCAGGCCACACTTGCCAAGTGGATCCAGGGCTTGCAGATCACCAACCCAGCACTGGCCAACATCCCAGTGGTCTTCCGTCTGGGAGCAGTGGGAGGAGAACTCCAACTCTCTGAGCATCAGGAAGGCCAGGGCCAGCACACCAGGGAGCAAGAGGAGCAGGTGTCTTTGAAGGAAGAAGAGAAAGAGCCATCCCAAACCCAGATCCAACACCAGGGTCAGAGCTGAGCCTTTGCCTGAAAGGATTCTTAGACTGAGTGTTCTTGCTCTCTGTTAGGTGTGGTTTTGGTTTATTGTAAAAGCAGAAGCTGGACTTGAAGCTGAAAACCTTGATGGGGAATGGAGTTTTGAGGTAGCTGCTTCCACCTCCTCCCCAGGGGATCAGTGCCACAAAATTGATCGTGCTTTGCTACTTGCCTTTCTTGAGTAGGTAGCAAATAAAGTATCATCCTTGGGGATTCTGCCTGCCCTGATTTCTGTTTTTGTCCCTAGTCCTGTTGTGGACTGCCCTTCGGGGTGAGGCCCAGCATATGGGTAGGGGTGGGCTCCACCACAGCAGGACAAAGGTGGTCTGACTGAAGCCAGGCACTATCCTACAAGCAGTTTGTCTGCTCAGTTTTTCCATCTGGGAGGATGAGAGAAATATCCTTTCTATGTGATATCTGGCACTTATTATACCTATTCAAGACTGTGGCCACATCCACCCTCCCCCCCAAAAAAAGATTAAATGCAAACTAGTTTTTCTTTCATTCCTGGAGTTTCCTTTTCTTTCCAAGGCTTCTCTTTCCCTCAAAATCTAGAAATGTGGTTTGTTGGAAGGGATGTTGGACAGAGGCAAAAGACCCCAGTTCCAATTCTGACACTTAAGAGCCCTCTATCGGAGAAGAGACTAAACGAAGTGATTCTAAGTTCTGTTCCAGCCCCCCATTCTGTGCCACCTCCCTGCCCCGGGCTGGTGTATGGTGGGCAGCCCCCCGGCTGCCAGCACCTCCGGGACAGGCATTTGGTGCTGCTACCAGAGACCTGGGCGGCCTTGGGCACTTGGGTCACAGTCTCAGTTTCCTCATGGAATGTCCTCCAGTTCTCAAATCTTTCCCTTTCCCCCTCCCCTCTGCAGGCTGATCCCATGCAGAGAGGGCGGGGCGCGTTCTGGGCTCGCGCAGGCGCGCTCGGCGCGCCGGGGCCCTTTTTCGCGAACGCCGGGTTAAATTTTTCCCGGCGGGCGCGGGCTATCGGCGCCACTTCCGGCCGGGCTCCTAACAACGGGAGAGGCTGTAACCAGGGAGGGGGGGGATGGCGGAGCGGGCACCGGAGCCCGAGCCCGAGCCGAGGCCGAGACGGAGACCGGGGCCGAGGGCGAGGGCGGCGGGGAGGCGGCGGCCGAGGAGGGCGCGGCGGGCCGCAAGGCCCGGGGCCGGCCGCGCCTCACCGAGTCGGACCGGGCGCGGCGGCGGCTGGAGTCCCGGAAGAAGTACGACGTGCGGCGCGTGTACCTGGGCGAGGCGCACGGGCCCTGGGTGGACCTGCGGCGCCGCAGCGGCTGGAGCGACGCCAAGCTCGCCGCCTACCTCATCTCCCTGGAGCGGGGGCAGCGCAGCGGCCGCCACGGGTGAGGCCCGGGCCCGCTCCTCCCGCAGCGCCCCGCGAACCGCCGAGGCACGCGCGGGAGGGAGGGAGCTGGAGAGGGCCCGAGCTCCGAGCTCCGGGCCCCGGAGGGGTCGGGCAGACTTCCTGCAGGAGCTCAGCCGCGAGCTGGCTTGGGAGGTTGGGGGGCATCCCCAGGGCGGGAGCGGCATCGGACGTTCTGTATGTGGGGAAGTCAAGTCAGCAAGGATCCACTAAGCGCCTACTACGTGCCAGGCACTGGGCTGAGCTCTGGGGATGCAGAGAAGGGCAAAAAGCAGTCCCTGCCCGTGAGGAGCTCCCAGTCTAATGGGGAGGCAGCCTGCGAACAGCTCTGTACAAACGAGCTATTGACAGGTAGAGATAATCAGCTGAGGGAAAGCATTAGCTTTAAGGAGGGTGGGAGAGACTTCTTAGAGAAGGTGAAATTTTAGCTGGGACTTGAAGACAGGAGGTGGAGATGAGAACGGAAAGCATTCCATTCATACATTTTCACTGAGTGCTCCCAGTGTGTTAGGCATGTACTTAACAGGCGATCAGTGGTGCGGGTGACAGCTGTGGGTATGTGGGGGAGGATTGCCGGTTTGGAGCATGATTAGGAGCTTGGTCTGGGATGCTGTGTTGAGTGATGTTAAGACATTTAGAAGAAGGTGTCCTGTAGACATTTGGAAAAGGAGTGAAGGGTTGGAACTGAAGGTGTAGGAGGAGATTGAGATTGCCAAAGGGAATGAGTGTAGGAAGAGAAGAGGGCCAAGGAGGAGACTGAGGGGCATGAACTCTGTCTTCAAGTGTCTGGAGGGCTGACTGGATAAGAGAAATAAACTTATCATGTTTGGCTCCGGGGAGCAAAACTAGGGTAAATGCATATAAAATTAGGCAGGCCAACATAAGGGAAACCTTGCCAACGATGAAGAATTGTCTAAAAAGCAGAATGGTCTCAAGAAGTACTGGAGTTCTGTGTCATTGGAAGGCTTCAAACAAAAGCTGGATGAACACTTTTCAGGGAAATTGTAGAGGAGATACTTATTTAGGTACAAGCTAAACTAGTCCAGCACTTAGAACAGTGCCTGGTACATAGTAGGTACTTAATGAATGCTTGCTGGATTGAGGGCTTCTGAGATTTTGTAGGGAGATAATATCCATAAAGGTCTTTTCAGATACTAAATTATGTACAAATGTCAGCTACTATTGTTATAATGAAACACGGGTATCTGGGGGTGGAAACAGCCAGAGGAGTAGGAAGAGAACTATGAGAGAACAGTGTCATAGAAACTAAAGAAGGGAAATTCTCCAGGAAAGAAGTGTCGGATCTGGGAACATAGAGGGGAATCTAGATTGTTTAACTTTTGTATTTGTATCCCAGTACCTCTAACATAGCTGCTTAATAAGTGCTTGTTGGTTGATTGAATGATACTGAGAGGAGGTCTGGGATGATGAAGGCTGATAAAATGCCATTAGAATTTCCAAGAAACAGTCATTTGTCAGTTATTCTGACCAATCCAGTGACCATTTGTGACTTCAGAGGACTTAATAGTAGAGCATGACTTCTGAAAAGTGGTCTGAAAAAGTGGTAGTGGGCAATAGAACAGAATGAGGCATGTATTGTCAGATAGTGGCCAGTGGTTGATTTGTTTTGCTTGACTGTACTTATTTGTGACAAAGAACCTTCCTCACAGCATACTCTGTTAAGTAGTATAAATTTTATTGTCCCCATTTTACAGATTAGAAAATGAGGCTCAGAAAAGTTTTTGGGGAGAACAGTGTTATTCAAGTGGAATGGTGGGAGCAGAGGAGGCAGCTGCTAGGTAGGGGTTTGGGGTGTATACTGTAATTGGGCGGTAATATGTTGTAATGGAAAGAGAGATGGTCAGGAAACCTATATTTGAAACCAGCACTACTGTGTGATTCTGGGAAAGTCCTGTAGCCTTCTTGAGCCTCACTTTCCAGAAAGAAAATGAAAAATTAAGGGGCCATGCTCTTTCTCACAAGTTGTTGTGAGGAAAGCACTTTGTATTCCTTCTTCTTACTGTGGTTTAGATATTTTGTGGCAAAAGGAGGGACATGATGGTAGCCAGAAAGGAGTAGTGGGATCAGGGGAAAACGTATAACAGACTTCCCATAACCCTCACTTCCTGCTGTGCAAACTCTCCTCCCTATTCCTACCCTACAGCTTTCCTCATGGTCTTGCCTCCCTGACTTCCAGGTTATCTTTTCTCTGATTTTGAGGGCCTCTTCATGATACCCCCATATCCCTGTGCCATGGGTCCTTCCTCCGCCAGATACCCTTTCTGCTGCCGAATGAGAAGACCTTCACAGACCCTAGCCTGGCCCTCTCACTCGATGCTACTTCTCTCTGTTACAGGAAGCCTTGGGAGCAAGTCCCCAAAAAGCCAAAGCGGAAGAAGAGTAAGTTGGTAATGGGGCCTAAGGCTTGTGATTTGTCCAGGGAATGGAGGAGCAATGATGCTGATGAGTCAGAGTAGTGAGCCCTTATTTCCTCTCTTTCAGCAGCACAGATAGGACTTAGTAGGCCCAGGAGAAATGAGGGAGCAAGTGGCTCCATTCAGAGCTGGGCTAGATTTACCCTGTCCTCTCCTCTGGCCCTCCTCAAGGGCTCTGTTCTTATCCCATGGGCTAGACAGTATCTGTGCCCTAATTGGCCAGGAAGGGCAAAGTGTTTGTGGGTTCAGGTGACTGAAAGATTTTGGTAATTTCAGCTGTGACCATTGAAAAGTATGACTCATCTAACTGGAAGGAGTGTTATTTGTTTGGAGGACTAGTCTTTAGCTGATGGAGGAATTGAAATTTTGGTAGCCACACTTTCCTTTCTCCCCCATTCTCTGATCTTTTGTAAGGATGTGGTTGGGGTGCACCTGCTGCAGGACACTGGCCCTTAGGCCTCAGAATGCCTTCTAGCAGCTGTATGATATCTGTGCTCTATGGGGAGGTTTTAGGCTTTAGGTATCAGTTCACTGACCCAAAGAGAGCAATGTGGACTTCTGTTTTGATTAATAAGCTTTTATGTCCCAGAGCCTACTGTGAGAATAGACTGGCTCTGAGCGTTCAAGGAGACCCCAATGTTATAGGTGTACCTACTTGGGAGATTGCCTGTCCTCCCTTTCACTCATCCCTCTATGCCAGTGGAACCCTAGTAGTCTGTGCCCAAGACCTATGATTGGGCAACATGCCTGCCCTGGTGTTGGCAAGAGAGTTTACTCTTTCCTACCAACACAAGAGGGCCCTGGCCTGGAATGACATTTGTGGGAAGCATAGCCAACCTGTCCTACTTTCTGTTCCTTACAGATGAGGCCTCTCACACTGACTCAGTGACAGACCTCCGTTGGGAGGGGGAACAATACTGAGATGAATAGTGGTGTCCAGGGGTACCTCCCTGGACAGGAGCTGCTTCTTCCTCTTGGGAAGGAGATGGACAATGACCCACATGCTTAGATAGTATGTTCCCCAAATCCTCACAGGAGAGGAAGGGCCTGAGGCTTGCCTCTTGCAAGCATTGTTCCATTTGCCTTTCTCCTTTCCTAGGAAGGAGGCGTAATGTGAACTGCCTAAAGAACATGGTGATCTGGTATGAGGATCACAAGAACCGCTGTCCCTACGAGCCTCACCTGGCTGAGCTCGACCCCACCTTTGGGCTTTATACCACGGCGGTGTGGCAGTGTGAGGCTGGACACCGGTACTTCCAGGACCTCCACTCACCTCTGAAGCCGCTCAGTGACTCGGAGAATGAGAGTGACCGAGGTAGGGAGCCTTGGGGCTGTTTTGAGCTGAGGGGCCTGGGACACACCTCCTTTGGCTCCTGGCACTGAGGCAGCCTCCCCCTCAGGAGGGCCCACTCTCACTGTGGGCTCACAGCTCTATTTCTCTTTCCATCTTCCTGTTTTTCTTGAATGTAGTTGCCTGCTCAGACTTAGTTATATCCACTCTCCCCAGATATGCTGGATTGGTGCCTGCTAGCCTTGTGTTAGGTTATCTAGGGGCAAGGCAGAGGGAAGAGGAGAGAACTCAGTTCCTCTCCTTGGGTCTGTTGAAAAAAAATTCACATATCTAGATCAGAAAGCAGTTCTGAGTGGTGTGTGATAAGGGACAGATAAGTTGTTCTGCTAAGGAG